TTTTCTTTCCCCAGTACGTCTCCATTACACACAGTCAGGAAAGGAAAAGTTGTGCATCAAGACTTAATGTAAATCTAGCTTTCTGGGTGAAATGTGAAAAAGAAAAGCAGCCCAAAGGTGCATTTTTTGTTATTGTTAATGGTCACAGTACAAATGAAAAAGCATGCAGGACATTTTAGTCCCCTGAACTCTTGAAGAGTCTTTGTGTAGAGTTGCAGAGCTGCAAACTTCCAAGTTCAAAGCCCGCTGATCCCTCAGCTGTGTAAAGCTGGTCAGTAGCATTCTGTTAATCTCCAAACTGTAAATAATAATTACCATTTTACTGGAGAAAGTGAGCTGCTGTGAGATTACCTGCAATCAGGTCGACATACTTGAACTCAAAGGGAATCCCGAGCGCTTTGGCAAACAGGAAGACGGCGCGGCAGGGTGGCGAGATCAGGTCGAGATAGAGCTCCATCATGTCGGACAGTGAAGGCTGCAGAGGTTTCGTCTCCACCGACCTTCCTCTGTTTTCTCACTCCTCTTCTATCCGGCCTGTCTGTCCAGAACTCCACCTCTCCTTCCACTACACCTCACTGACTTTTAAGTGGTGCCAGCTATTCAAAGCAGGAGGTCACAGCGACAGAGTGAGCTGAGCTTTGCCACCATTTTTTAAAAATGCTGAGATTATCACTTTTACCTACTGGTGCTTGCAATCAGATGCACATTTTCAGGGCAGCAACTATATAATAATACCAGCCTGAAGTTCCTGACACAACTTCAAGCTAGAAGATTTGGATTTAACACTTTTCTGTGCAACCACTCACTGAAATAAACTGCTGGAACAAATGAGCCATGAGGTATACAACTTTAACTCCACTGATTAAGCTAATTATGATTTATGATAAGATGTTTGGCTCAAGAAGGTTGTAAAGTAAAGCTCAGCAGCATTCCTGGTAAATCAGCTGATCTCAAAGCTAGCCACATCAGCTAGCGGTTTCTACATAACCACTGGGAGATGTCATATGGAGCGGGCTGTTTAAGCAGCCTTAATAAGCCCACAGTTGTCACGCATCTATAAGCCGTTTTGCATGGAGGAGTCCCAGGACAGGACAACATGGGAATTTTCTTCTCTCTAAAAAACAACTCATGGTTGGGAACTCAAAAGAACATCCATCCATCCTCTTATCAGCTTCATGCGGGGATTGAAACTAGAGGACAATTTAGAATCACCAAGTAACCTACCCCAACTAATTGCATGTCTTCGGACTGTGGGAGGAAACCAGAGTACCTGGAGAGAAGCGGCATAAACACAAGGAGAACATGCAAACCTCCACACATAAAGTCCCCAGCCAAACTGTGGAGTCAAACTGAGGACCTTCGTGCTGTGAGGCAACAGTGCAAACCACCACGCCACCCGCATAACTTTCTGTAAATGTAAATGTTCTGCAGCAAAACGACGGTGATTATTTGCAATAGTACCAGAACAGGCTTAAAGAGATGTTTATTTTCACACAGGTGACGGACTCATAACCACTTTTTCTTTCTCACTTTTGACAGGATTTTGTTCAGCTTTCTGCAGAAGCTCCTGTGTCTGATTCCTGAGGGAGAAACAGATTTTACACGCTGCACAGGTCACACATAAACAGGACAAGATTAGGAATGTTACATTTACTACCTTAAGATTCTTTGCTGAACGTTAACACCCCATGTTTACAGAGACTAAAACACAAGAAAAATGCTAAATATGTGCAGCACACACTAGGAAGGCCACATTAGAAGAATCATGTTATAAAACTGGAAGGAGGAATTTGTTAGCAAACAGCTGCTTATTTCCACATTCATCAAAGTAATATTACCACTCAGTGTCTTTGGTTTGTCTGCAGTCGTCTTTTAACATCTGCAGATTCACTTCTAAGTGAGATCAACCCATAAAATAGCCCCATCCCTTTGTTCTTCTTCCTTCACTCTTTATTCTTATTTAAAGGAAAATAATTTAGGCGCTGAACTACTTTTCTAAATATCTGGCATTCATGCAGAAAGGGCAGAACGTTTGAGGCCCAGGACACTGACTTACTCTACTGTGTGTTAAACTTGAAGCCTCATTTAGTGAGGAATGCATTGTTGTTCAGCTACTTTGATGAGAAGTGTTAACAGCCATTCTGGCTCTGTTAGGACTCGGGCCTCGCAGGGCTCTGATCCAGCTCACTGAGCTGCTGAGAGGAAACAGCTTCAATGAAAACAAGAGATCAGCTCCCAGCAGAGTCCGCACTGTTGTTTTCACAAGTCATGAGAGTATGACACACAATCCGGTGAAGAGCGGCTCCAGTACCTGACTGGCATGAGGCCAGAGGTCATCTTCAGAGCACGGCGGTGCTCTCCAGGATCTCCAGCAGCCTCTGCACCTTCCACTGATTCTCAGA